TCATTTGACAGGATCATATGTTTCTTATCCTTGCTTCTATTGATCTGATGTATCACACCGAATGACTTGCAAGTATTGAACCAGCCCTGCAGCCCAGGAATGAATCCCACTTGATCATGGTGAATAATTCTTTTAATATACTGTTGAACTCGATTTGCTAGTATCTTGTTGAGAATTTTTGCATCCCTGTAATTCTCCTTTTTAGTGGGGTCTCTGTCTGGTTTGAGAATCAAGGTCATGCTGGTTTCATAGAGTCAGTCTGGGAGCTTTCCTTCTATTTCTATTTTTTGGAACCACCTGAGAAGAATAGTTATTAACTATGCTTTAAATGTCTGGTAGAATTCCCTAGGGAAGCCATCTGGCCCAGGACTCTTATTTGTTGGGAGATTTTTGATAACTGCATCAATTTCCTCACTGATTATGGGTCTGTTCAAATTTTCTATTTCTTCCTGTATGAGTTTTGGTAGTGTGTTGGTCCATTTCTCCCAGGTTGTCCAATTTGTTGGCATATACTTTTTCATAGTATTCTCTAATAATTGTCTGTATTTCTGTGGTGATAGTTGTGATCTCTCCTCTTTCAATCATCATTTTATCTCTTTGGGTTCTCTCTCTGTTTTCTGTTTGAGCACTCTAGCTAGGCATTTATCATTTTGTTTATTTCTTCCAAAGTAACTCTTAGACTCATTGACCTGTTCTACTGTGTTTAGTTGGATTCCATGTTGTTTATTTCTTCTCTAATCTTTCTTATTTCTCTTCTGTAATCTTTGGGATTTCTTTGCTCTTCTCTTTCTACTTCCCTTAGGTGTGCAGTTAGGTTTTATATTTGGGATTTTTCTTGTTTCTTGAGATAGGCCTGGATTGCAATGAATTTTCCTCTAGGACAGCCTTTGCTGCATTCCAAATGGGTTGGACTGTCATGTTTTCATTTTCATTTGCTTCCATGTATTTTTTTAAATTTCTTCTTTAGTTGCCTGGTTGACCCATTAATTCTTTAGTAGGATGTGCTTTAACCTCCCTACACTTGGAAGCTTTCCAAATTTTTTCTTGTGGTTGATTTCAAGTTTCCTAGCTTTTAGATTATGGTATTATCTCATTCTTTTACATTTATTGAGGGCCGTTTTGTGAGCCAGCATGTGATCTATCTTGGAGAATGTTCCATGTGAACTCAAGAAGAATGTGTGTTCTGCTGCTTTTGGATGAAAACTTCTGAATATATCTGTCCAGTCTATCAGGCCTTTAACTTCTTCGTTGATTGTTTCCTTCTTGAGTTTCTGCCTACATGATTTCTCCATTGTTGTTAGTGGAGTGTTAAAATTTCCTGTAATTACCATATTCTTACCAATAAGTTCATGTATGTTTATCATTAATGGGTTTATACATTCGGGTTCTTTCATGTTGGTGGCTTAAACATTTACAAATGTTAGCTCTTCTTTTTGGATAGACCCCATAATTATGATATAATGCCTGTCTTCACTTCTTGTTTCAGTCTTTAGTTTAAAACCTAGTTTGTCTGATATAAGGATGGCTACTCCAGCATTCTTTTGACTTCCAGTAGCATGACAGATGGTTCTCCATCCCCTGACTTTCAAGCTGAAGGTGTCCTCAGGTCTAAAATTGACCTCTTGTAGACAACATATAGATGGGTCTCGTTTTTTATCCATTCTGATATCCTATGCATTTTGATTGGGGCATTTAGTCTGTGTACATTCAGAGTTATTATTGAAAGCTATGGATTTAGTGTCATTGTGTTATCTGCAGGTTTCATGTTTCTGGAGATGTCTCTAGTCCTTTGTAGTCTTTGCAGTGTTCTGCTCACAGAATGCCCTTCAGGATCTCTTGCAGGGTTTGTTTAGTGGTCATGAACTCCTTCAGTTTTTGTTTGTGTGGGAAAACCTTTATCGTTTGTTCCATTCTGAGTGACAGGCTCCCTTGCTGGATAAAGGATTCTTGGCTGCATGTTTTTCCTATTCAGCACATTGAATATTTCCTCCCACTCCCTTCTGGCCTGCCAAGTTTCAGTGGACAGGGTCAGGTGTGTACTACCCTTATGCATCTACCCTTGCAGGCTAAGGCCCATTTGTCCCTAGCTGCTTTCAGAAGTCTCTATCTTTGTGTTTTGCCATTTTCAATATGATATGCCATGGAGAAGGCCCACTCCTGTTGAATCTGAAGGGAGTTCTCTGTGCCTCCTGGATGTGGATGGCTGCTTCCTTCCCCAGATGAGGGAAGTTCTCAGCTATAATTTGTTCAGATAAACCTTCTGCCCCTTTCTCAACCT